CGGGGCTGCTGTGGGGCCTCGGGGGGCCGAGTGGGGGAGAGAAATGGGGTTGTGCCTGTCGCAGCAGCAAGGGTGGGTATGTCAGAGCGCCCCTCACCCTGCGCTTCTCCCTCCCTCAGCTCCGTGGCATCACATTGAGAACCTGGACCTCTTCTTCTCTCGCATATCCTTTCGTAGGGTGGGTTCCGGTGGGATGCACCCCGCCGCCTCCTGGGCCCTCGGTGCTGGTGGCAACGCTGGGTTTGGTGTAAATCGGAGCTGGGACAGGGTCTGCTCCTCCCCGGGGGACAACACACGGCTCAAGACGGGCAGGGGGATGGCAGAACCACATGCCTGTGGGGTGCTGTCATCTGGCACCGAGGGGACAGTCAGGTTCTTTAGGCATCGTGGCTGAGCGATGACATGTCTGAGTTGTAGTTAGAATTAAAGCTTTATTTCCGTAGCAGGAATTTATAATTAGCATAGCATAGTGTTTATAACTAGAGTGACACAGGATTTCTGTAAGCAGAATCAGTGTAGTACAATTTATAAGTAGCATAGTTCGAAATTTTATAGCGCTGCTCAGCTTGTGGTTCCTAACCACCTGGACTGTCTGCAGATCAGGTCATGTCTTATCACGTGGTTTGCTGTATCAGTATAACAGCCATAGTCTAGATTCAAAAATTATAGAAAAGCATACAAGTCACCCTGTCCTCGGAGGAAGCAGGTGATGGTGGAAGCGTCCCTGACCACTCAGCGGTCCCGAAATTTTATAGCGCTGCTCAGCTTGTGGTTCCTAACCACCTGGACTGTCTGCAGATCAGGTCATGTCTTATCACGTGGTTTGCTGTATCAGTATAACAGCCATAGTCTAGATTCAAAAATTATAGAAAAGCATACAAGTCACCCTGTCCTCGGAGGAAGCAGGTGATGGTGGAAGCGTCCCTGACCACTCAGCGGTCCCAGGTCTCAGGTGGAAGCGTCCCTGACCACTCAGCATACAGCATACAGGTCTCAGTATACAGCAGCAGTTCCAGTCCATGTTCCCACTTGTAGCTCCTTGCTTCTGTGGACACTGCTCTGAGTGCCGTTATGCTTTCCTGCTCTGTGACGGGGACGTCAACATCACCCATCCTGCTCTGTGACGGGGACGTCAACGTCACCCAGTTGGCCGGATGCCTGGGACCTTCAAGGCCGGCAAGGAAGGGATTCGTTGGCTTGGTGCCCAGGAATCCTGAAGCTTGTGGGGAGGGGAAGAAGCAATCGGTTTGGTTTGTTTGGTTGGTTCATGGGACCTTCAGGGCCTGATAGTGAGGAAAAGGGAGCTGACACATGACCTGCTGAATCACAGGGAATGGCTGGTTGCCTTCTAAAACGGGGTTTGTTATGCTGACCATGTTGCCAGTGGTCAGGAGCAGGGTCACATGTGCTGAGGGTGTTAAATGTGTTTTTGCCTGTCTGTTTTGTGTGTCCTGCCCTGCTCACCCTTGGGCAGGCTGAGGTTCTGCTCTGTGCTGGGACAGACCCCCGTCTGGGTTTTGGGTGGGAGAAGGAAGGAGCTTGGGTGGAGCCAAGTCCTCTTATCCCAGCTGTGCTTTACCTGGGCAGAGTGTGTTTCTGTGCAGTGGAGAACCAGCTTACTGATGAGTAGGGATGGGGGAGGGGTCCATTGGTGGGGTCAGAGACTTGTCTGGGGGATGCCCCTTCATCAGAGGGAAGGAGTCTCCAGACTGTTCTCCTTGACTGTGGCTTTCACATCTATAACCTTCATCAGAAGAATGGCTTCACCTGCATGCTCATTGGAGAGATCTTTGAGCTCATGTAAGTGCAGGATCCCCCTCTGTTGTGGCTGTGACAGCTGCTGGGGAGCAGCCTCAGGAATCTGCCGAGCTCTTAGAGCTGGGTGGGTGGGAGGGTTCCTTTACAGCTGTCCTGTCTCCCCTTCGTTAGAGTCTTCTGTACCCCAAAGCTGCATTCCACTTCAAGGAACTTCTGCCCTTGAGCTTTCCCACTGCCGTGGCTGTGTGAACGCATTTCCGTCATGCGTGACCCTGCCTGCATCGCGTTTTGGGGGGCAGAAAGGGCGATTCCCTCATGCCTGCTCCCGTTTTTTCACAGGCAGTTCATCTTCGTGGTGGCATTCACCACCTTTCTTATCAGCTGCGTGGATTACGACATCCTTTTTGCCAACAAAGCGGTAAATCACAGCCAGCATCCCAGTGAGCCCATTAAGGTGACTCTGCCAGATGCCTTCCTGCCTCCGAATGTCTGCAGTGCGAGGTAGGGGCAGCACAGGGCATGTTACCATGGCTCTTGCTTTCTCAGGTAGTCGGGGCACCTGTCTGGGCCTGTCTCCCCACTGCTTGTCTCTTCTTACTTACAGGATCCAGGCAAATAGCTTCCTCATCTGCATCCTGGTGATAGCTGGAGTTTTCTGGATCCACCGACTCGTCAAATTTATCTACAACATTTGCTGCTACTGGGAGATTCACTCTTTCTACATCAATGCCCTCAAAATCCCTATGGTAAGCACGTGGGCTGAGGGCTGCGTGCGGGAGGCCTTTGCTGAGAGGTGAGAAGCAGCTCACCTTCACTCCTCTCTGGAGCCAGCTTCTCCAAGAGACCTGTAGCGAACCCTCTTCCCTCTGCTCCATAACCACACGGGTCTCCTTTCAGCCTCTTCCCCTGCAGCCAACTTTCTGTGTGTTAACCCCTCATGCCCAGTGTGCCTCTGCCTGCTGGCACCCGTCCCTGCTATCTGTAGGGATATCCCTCCCAAGGCAGGGTGAGCCGAGAGGCTTGGTTTGTCCCCAGCTTCTCCACAGCCTCCCTCAGGGACACACCTGAAGTCCCTTCCCGTGTTGGTGTCTCCCTGCTGCCTCCAAATGGCAGCTATGGGAGGACCCAAGGGAGCCTGGAGCTGTGCTCATGCCCCGAGTGTGAGTGGCTGGGAAACAGTCATCTGCCTTAATCTAGGGGTAAAGGGCAGCGGGGTGAGGTATGGAGTTTATGGAGTTGCTCATCGCAGGCTGAAGCAATGCAGGGAGGTGCCTCGTGTCCTGCTGTTGGACAGGCCTCATCAGCACCCCGAGGCACGCTGGGACCTGGACTCATCCTGCCCCTAACCTGCCGCTTGCCCCCTTCCAGTCCACCCTGCCGTACTACACCTGGCAGGAGGTGCAGGCCCGCATCGTGCAGATCCAGAAGGAGCACCAGATCTGCATCCACAAGAAGGAGCTGACGGAGCTGGACATCTACCACCGCATCCTCCGCTTCAAGAACTACATGGTGGCCATGGTGAACAAGTCGCTGCTTCCCATCCGCTTCCGCCTGCCCTTGCTGGGAGACACCGTCTTCTACACGCGTGGGCTCAAGTACAACTTCGAGCTCATCTTCTTCTGGGGGCCTGGATCCCTCTTTGAGAATGAGTGGAGCCTGAAGGCTGAGTACAAGCGGGCTGGGAACCGCCTGGAGCTGGCTGAGAAGCTCAGCACTCGTATCCTCTGGATTGGCATTGCTAACTTCCTCCTCTGCCCCCTCATCCTCATCTGGCAGATCCTCTATGCTTTCTTCAGCTACACGGAAATCCTGAAGCGGGAGCCGGGCAGCCTGGGTGCCCGCTGCTGGTCTCTCTACGGCCGCTGTTACCTCCGTCACTTCAACGAGCTGGACCACGAACTGCACTCACGCCTCAGCAAGGGCTACAAGCCAGCTTCCAAGTACATGAACTGCTTTATCTCCCCGCTCCTCACCATCGTGGCCAAGAACGTGGCCTTCTTTGCTGGCTCCATCCTGGCTGTGCTCATCGCTCTCACCATCTATGACGAGGACGTGCTGGCGGTTGAGCACGTCCTGACCACGGTCACCCTGCTCGGGGTGGGCGTCACGGTGTGCAGGTGAGGTGGGGCTGTGCTGCCCCCGTGCTCCTGGCAGTGCTGTGGGGAGCCGTGGGGCTGACAGCTGCCCATGCAAACACGCTCTTCGGTTGCACGTGGGTGTGAATCTGCCTGAGAGACGGGCACGAGTTGGGCAGGAGAAGGGGGTAGTGGTAATTTGGGTGCGATGGTAGCACGGATATGAGGGGTGGAGCTGTACAGCAGCACCCACCCACAGCTAGGCTGGCAGGAGGGTTTGGGTTGAGTGTGAAGGCTACAAGCGGATCTGTGATACGGGCCCGTCACCCTGCCCTCCAGGATGAGATTTTCCAGGAACTGCGGTGTGACAATGTGATGTTTCTCTCTCCTGCCCTACAGGTCTTTCATCCCCGACCAGCACCTGGTGTTTTGCCCAGAACAGCTGCTGCGGGTCATCCTGGCACACATCCACTACATGCCTGACCACTGGCAGGGCAATGCCCACCGCTACGAGACCAGGGATGAGTTTGCCCAGCTCTTCCAGTACAAAGCGGTGAGCTGGACTTGGAAGGGGCTGGGATGGGGACTCACCCCCCTTCCTGCAGGGGTGAGAAGGTGCCGGAAAGCTGAGCAGCTCCTGGGCTGGCAGAGGGACAACACCCTGCCCCAGAAGATGGGCTGGAGCTGGGGGCTGGCTTTGGGATTGCAGGGTTTTTGACACCCTCAAGCTTGTGCTGAACCCATGCTCCCTCTGCTCAGGTCTTCATCCTGGAGGAGCTCCTGAGTCCCATCATCACGCCCCTGATCCTCATCGTCTGCCTGCGGCCCAAGTCCTTGGACATTGTCGACTTCTTCCGCAACTTCACGGTGGAGGTGGTGGGTGTGGGCGACACCTGCTCCTTCGCCCAGATGGACGTGCGCCAGCACGGACACCCGGCGGTAGGTCCCGAGGGTGGCGGGGGAGCAGCCTGGGCTCCCCACCAACATGCCTGGTCCTCAAGACCCATGAGAGGCTGTAACTTGCCACTCCTGGCAGCTCACGGCCTAGCCACCTGCCTCTGTGCTGGTCACCACCCCAGAAGGCTCTGGTGACCCAGCTGCGATTATTAACATGATATTTTGTGGGCCAGGCTGTGTCACTTCTTTAGTTGATGTCCTTGCCTGTCTTCACAACCAAGAGCCCTGACTCCTCAGCGGGGAGGATATTTGGACATTTAGAAAGTGGCACTGCTGAGAACTGACTTAAAGAAGCTGGGCTGCTTGTGTCCAGGAGAGTGGCAGCCTCGGGGAGATGGGAAGCATTTTCCATTATGGGAAATCTAGTGCAGAGGGAATAGGGTTTCATCCATTTCCTGTGCTTGGGTATTTAGGTTACTTGTCGGGAACGACTCCCTGGTGACAGGGCCATGAGCTAGGGAGGGGGGGTGGACTTACTGTGGCAGGAAGCTTTTAAGGACAGTTGTTTGGTGGCTGTAGCCGCTCCTGCGAGCTGCAGAGTGCAAGATGAGGACGTTCAGCTCGGTGTTTCAGCTTTTGCTGGGTGCTGCGTGCTTTGCCCAGGCTGACGGCGGGGGTGTAAAGCTGATCCCATCCCTAATTGCCTGTCTGTGCTCCGCAGTGGATGTCGGCGGGGAAGACGGAAGCCTCCATTTACCAGCAGGCGGAGGATGGCAAGACAGAGCTGTCCCTCATGCACTTTGCCATCACCAACCCCAAGTGGCAGCCGCCTCGCGAGAGCACGGCCTTCATCGGCTTCCTGAAGGAGCGGGTACACCGGGACAGCAGCGTGGCACTGGCTCAGCAGGCTGTGCTCCCCGAAAACGCCCTCTTCAGCTCCATCCAGTCCCTGCAGTCGGAGTCAGAGGTGCCTGGCCTGGGGGGGGATGCAGGATGCTGTTGGGGTGCTTGTTGGGTGCTGGGAAACTGATAATCGGGCCCTCTGGGCAATTTTGCCCCTGCCTGGGCTGTGTCTGGGGATGCAAATGTGATGGATCAGCACTAGTTGGAATTGCTGCTGGGTTTCTAGGGAAGGCAGCAGGCTGTCCTGGGTGCCTGTGAAGGTGGGAGAGGGCCCAAGGGAGCTGGGGTGCCTCAGTTCTATGGTGCTGGCCCAGATCAGGCCTCCCAAGTCCTCACAGGACAGCTATTCTCTCCCTTTCAACCCCGCAGCCTCACAGCCTGATTGCCAACGTGATAGTGGGCTCCTCGGCACTGGGCTTCCACATGGGCCGGGACGGACAGGCCTCCCGCCATCTCTCTGAAGTGGCCTCGGCCCTGCGTTCCTTCTCCCCGCTCCAGTCTGCCCAGCAGCCTCCTAGCGGCTTCCAGACGGCAGGAAGGGATGGAGAGGGATCCCAGCCTCGCGGTGCCAGTGCCATGACAGCCTCTGGGTAAGCCTCGGGACACCTTGCCAATTCCTCAGACCCTTGTCCGATTGCCACCCAGTTGTCCTAGGTGCACGGTGGCATTTGTCTCTGCAGCCTGGGACAGCAAGGGACATGCTTGTAAGCAGAGTTAGGCCCAGGTGCTTCGGCTGGCCCCGAAGGAGAGCGCTGGGGTTCTCCTGTGCTTACCCCTGGCAGGGGAGAGGCAGTGCCGTAGCAGGACTGGTCACCTTGGGCATCTGAGGAGATGCTGCGGGGGGCCCGTTCCTACCCATCCGGGGGCAGGTGTCCGCCAGCCTGGCGTTGGAGCGGAAAGGGGCCAGGCGGTGTGGGGGGCACCTGGGCAGCAAACGCCACTCGTGTCCCCTGGCAGCGCCGATGCGAGGACCGTGAGCTCGGGGAGCAGCGCCTGGGAGGGTCAGCTGCAGAGCATGATCCTGTCGGAGTACGCCTCCACCGAGATGAGCCTCCACGCGCTCTACATGCACGAGGTGAGCTGCCCGGAGCTGGGCGGGGCGTGGGGCAGGGCAGGGCTGGGGTGCACTCTCCAGAGTGACCGGGATGCCCGTGCGTGTGAGAACAGA